TCCACTCCACCGCACCCTTTGCCCAGCACGGCAACTGCGGAATGAGTTGGAATGGATGCCTCTTTTGGTCATGCGTATCGCTTATGGAACGGTCCAAGGCTCCGCAACCTTGATCTGAAGTCCGGGCACAGTCCGAGAGACCTCTGGGGCTAGTTAAGGGGGAACCCTATGAATAGAGACGTGTCAGCTCAATTTGTACACAAGGGTAACTCCGGAGAGCAGACCCAGCACTTGGATGCTAAATCCATCAGCTGTTTTGCTGTTCTCAGGGGTAGAAACCAACTAGGCGATACCTATAAGTCATATCAGTCCATTCTCAGTGGGAATTTAGTCTTCTCCGCTTTCCAAGCGGTAATGCGCCGTTCGTCCCGAGGAAACATCTGTGTCCACGTGTCACCGACATCCACTGGTTAGTCCCAGATAGAGTGCAAACCCCGTATCAGGTGTTTGCGGTGTCCTTTCCGGACTCCGTCATGAAGACTGATCCTCTTGATGAATCCATCCGTTAGCCAACGAGTACCAGGGGTGCTTGGTGTAGCGTCTAGGATGGCCGGTGGAGTGTCCCCACAGAGTACCGATGGTTTCTGGCAGTGAGGTCAGCGGGGCGGCAAGAGGACAGGCCAAGTGACCTTCTGGGTACGGGAGATTTGTCCTTCAGCTGTGATTGCACAACTGCCATAGAGGTAACACTGTCGGAATGATACCTGGTGCGGCCAGCTGGGGGTCACCCAACAAGCACAAGCATACCATGCAGTATAGGCCAGCAGTGGAGGGGGTCACCCTCAGTCTGAACATAATCTGACACTGTAGGTACAGTGGTGCGGCCAGCTGGGGGTCACCCAGCGCGCAAGAGGGGGTCAGTCTGAACATAATCGGACACTGTAGGTACAGTAGTGCCGAAATGGTTAGCCGTATAATAAAGTAACCAGACATTGCCGGTCGAGCAGTGTAGACGGCAGGAGGGGGTCACCCTCATATAACCAGAACCGGGCATTGCAGATCCAGCAGTGCTGTAGGTAAGAGGGGGTCACCCTCAGTGTGGTATCAGAGGTCTGTACACCCAGCAGTGTAGTCAGCGAGAGGGGGTTACCCTCATTATGGTTATAACGGGACCCTGTAGGTCCAGCAGAGTAGTCCACAGGAGGGGGTCACCCTCAGTATCTGCGTATTGCAGGGCACTGTAAAAACAGAAGCTCAATCAGTGGGAGGGGTACCCTCTTTTATGGGAATACCCGGATGCTGCAGGTCCAGCAGTGCAGACTGCAGGAGGGGCACCCCCTCGGTAAGATAATAGCAGGACATTGCCGGAGCATTAGTATAGGAAGCAGGAGGGGGTCACCCTCAGCATTAATCTTACAGGACGTCGTAGAGTCAGCCAGGTACTTATAGGTAGCCATGTTGCCAGAGGGAGGGGGTCACCCAACCCAGCCCACAATGGTGTCACACGTCCATTATTATGGTCCAGTAGTGGGTAGAGCCCCAGTAATAACAGGTCTGAATGTGGGGCCAGTAGCCCCCCCGAGGGGTAGGAGGGTCCATATAGCGAGAAGCTGACTCACAGACCACTCAGGTATTATATTAGGATACACTTTTGAAGTGTATGTGTAGTGGAAAATTTAAGTCCTTTGCAGGAAGGGCAGCAAATCCTAGGGAGGGGAGCTAGGTGCTGAAAAACGGGCCATATAATTTTTATGAGAAAAAGACTGAACCTTAGAGAAAGACTTGATTTGCATATAACACATGTGGCATAGTATTGTTAAACAAAGATTTTTATTTGAGCAGTAACATGTCCCTTTAAATTTGAGATTCACATGTAATAGTAAAAAAGTGTAACAAGTCACACTGCATCAGACATAGTAAGCTGCAGTTGTGAGCGTGCCTGGGACAGATCCTGCTATGATCCTGCTATCCAGGATCTGTTACATATGCAGCATGTGAGACAGGCACAGTAAGTATAGGGATAGCTGAAAAAACTGGGCTATCTCCCCTGATATAGGGAGAGGGGAGGGTGGCCACATGGCCAGTTCTTGGGTGAGACCTGGCTGTTTGCAACGCACAGAGCCCATGTGGCTCTGAAAAATGGCCGCCGCGGCTCCAACAAATTGGCTGCCGTGGCTGCAAAAACAGAGCGCGGCCTACAGCGTGGTGATCATGCGGCACTGCCACGGTAGAAAAAAGCTGTTCAGCAAGCGGCCAGGGGCCACGGGGAGCAGGTGGGGAATAAGGGAGAAGGGTATGGGCGACAGAGCCCAGCAGGGGGGGAAACAGACTACAGGCAGGGGCACCCATTCCCCATACAGCAGAGTGTGAAAACAGAATAAAGTAACCCAGAACAACAATAAATCAATGAGCAGTATCCAGAATCTATCAGATAAATGGCCTAAATACAGCAACAGATGTTAACAAGTGATACAGCAGCTACATAGCATGAAATGGTATAGGAAATAACACAGAATAGACTGCCTAGCTAAACCCAGCAATAGACTGCCTAGATAAACCCAGCAATAGACTGCCTAGATAAACACAGCAGACAAACTTAAAACAAATCTAGCAAGAACCCTGCCTAAATAAAACCAGCAATTAAGCTGCCTAAACAAACCTAACAAATAGACTGATTAAATAGACTGTTTAAATAGACTGATTAAATAAACAAGCAGCATGTAGGATAAAAAAACAACCAAGAGCAGAGACAACTCTGAGTTGGTGGGTGCTCACCTGGAGGCAGCAGCAAAGAAAGTGGAAGGAAGTGGAAGAGCCTGCTTAGGGGTTTTATACTACTGTTGCTTTGTTCTGATTGGTTGTTTTGAAAAGTTCTGTTAACTGTTTCTTTGCTGCTGGAGGTTTCAGTAAAGAAGGTAAAGCAAATATGAAGCCTCCTGTCCTGCCATAAAATTCAGTGTAGGAGAAGGTAAGGGTCAGCGGTGTTCTTGGAACTGTGTATCCGATTTCAGTTTCCATGAATTTGGCTACACACACCGCATTTATATGAAAAAAGATGGCCACCGCCACTTGTTCGTTTGCACGAACGTTGACCCCCCAGCGGTCGGCAATTTACCTACAGCTGGCTCCCAGCAGGGCCGGACTGGGAATTAAAAGCAGCCCTGGAAAAAAATATTTACCAGCCCCATAATGCGTCGCGCAAGCATAGTGTGCAGATACAGAGTTAGAACAGATAACTTAAAATTAAAAAGTACTTCAATGTAAAAAGCGCACTCATAGGCTTCAAAATAAACAAAAGTGCAGATTTATTTTAAGCAGACGTGCCTTTGCATGTACGTGCCCAGAGTAAGTAGTCGAACCGTTTAAGAACAGTTTGACAACTTACCTGGAGTCTGCTGGGATATGGGGCTGTAGTAGGGT